CAAATGTCGATCCCTTTTATGGAGCGAGGCATAAGAGTTAGTTATTGAATATTTTAACAAAATTATATATATATATATATATATATATATATATATATATATATATATATATATATATATATATATATATATATATATATATATATAATTTTGTTAAAATATACAATAGATACATTCAGGTCTTGATTAGGAAATAAGACTTAAATAGGCTAAGTATAGACACAAATCATAATAAACTAAGATACAAGTATCAGATATGTATCTTATTTCTAGCTATATGGTCATATTGAAGATACATGACCTAAAGTTAATTTCCTTATTAAAGGCGAAATCCTTGAGCATAAAAGAAAAATGAAGAGCTAGAGGCATTTTAATTTTAGTCAAGGATTCTTTTATAGCCCCCTATGTTGTCTAGAGTGTGCGCATTGAAAAGAGAAGTGCTTTGTGGAGCATGAAGTGCACATTCTAGTTATGCTTTAAGAGATGAGGCGTAAGCTTCATGGATAAATAGCTTCACTTATTAGTTTTAAGGCGATTATCCTTCAAAAAGATTCCAAGCGAGTTTCAGATAGCTTTTTCAAACATTGACTACCATATCTATTAGCTGACCCTAAACTCCAGGATAAAGGCTATGTTGCTGTACTGCCATATCTATATCTATTGGTATCAGTGTAGTTATAATTGTTAAGAGTACAAATATTATCAGAACACACATATAATAGGGTGATCTATACCATTCAAGTGTTGTGAAAGGGTTAGTTTGGAATTTTGACTATTTTGTTATGGTGCAAGCCACCCCACTCCTTGTGGGTGATTCTGATAGGATTTGTATGTATTCATAGTTGTATAACGTGGCCAGTAATTGTTGAATATCAATTTTAAAGGATTGATTGGTGGACCAACTTTTGATACCACTCCTACAAGTACCTGCCAATTTTCCTTGGTTATTGCTCCCACTTTAATATCCCCAGATTATCTTCCCTCTAACTGCATTGTCAATTTTTTGTAGATTCTTTTGCTATTTTGAGAAGTTTAATCCGTTGTGTCCTGTGGGAAAGCTCATTCAGATTCCTGCAGCCAATAGAAAAATTGGTGCTGTCTTTTCATAACAATCAGTGTCACGAAGTAACTGTTAATATCTCTTGTAATAGATAATGACCTGTTTCTGCAGTCCTTCATTCCCCTAATGCCAACAATGCTATCCTGGACTACAGTTGAAGGCCTACATACAGCCAATAAAAAAAATCACTTTAATATCTGAAAGTTTTATCTTTTTTAAATTTGATATCCTGAAGTATTTTTTAAACAATTTGATACCCAATTGTGCATAAAAGAAAAAAGTTGACGTTAATTTTGTTCAAGAATGTCAACACAGTTAGGGCTTTGGTTTATCAAATTATCAAATTTACGTCAATTTGAAAACTTGGAGGTATCAAAATGTGAAAATAGAACTTACAGGATATTTTCTGGCTGATGTCGCCTATGGCTAAAGAAGATTAATAGTTATGATTGTTGTGAACTTCTAAGCTAAATTTCCTGGCAGACCTAAGGTTTACAGCCATACAAGGCACTCCAAGAAGTTTCAGGATCTTTATTAATGGAACTAGAGATTATGCATGAATGAGGGGAAGTTATGCATGCAGGAGACACCCAAAGTTGCCTCAGGATCTTTATGAATGGAACTAGAGATGAAATTTCGCATGAAATACTATGGAGAAGAAACCGTGCTGACTTCTTTCCAAAGGATTTGGACAATTGAGGTTCGACTTTCTTAACACTAGCTCATTCTTTTCTCCTCGCCATTTGGTAGTTATTACAGAATCTTAATATTTGTTACCCTGTAAATTTACTAGTGGTCTTCGTGATGGCAAACTGTGCATGCTTAAAACTTCTACTTCTGGAAATAAGAGTGAAAACCAAGTGTCACATTATTTCATTTGAGTGATGCTTTAGGTATCCAGCAGTCAGCTCAGCTGGCTGTGACATGGACTGTGTACAGTCGAAGGTTGTTATCTTCATTTATTTGCATTACCTTTATGTGCACTTTCCACATGCGCTGTTGATTGGCTCCTATGTAGTTGGAACTAGGAATACCACTGCACTTTTTTGTTTCTTTATATTTGTTTACTTTGCTGACAGTTTTTGTTAAATACCGTTTGTTACTACCATATCTACAGGTAATGGTATCACTGCAGTTAGAACTGTCAACGTCAGAGCCTTGATTGTGGCCCAAGTCGTGATATGTATGCTACTAATACCTGCAAGTGTCTTTTGTTCTGCTCCAACTTTACTGTCCTCGGACTTTCATCCTTCTAACTTCAATGTGATTATCCTCCAACACTTTGAAAATTCTTCTGATCTTTAGTAGATTTTTTAAAGCTATTTTTAGGAGTTTAATTTGTTTGTCTTGTCAGAAAGCATATTCATGAAGGCAATATAAAAATAGCTGTCTTTTTATATCAGTGAGTGCCACAAAGTACTATCAATATATTTTGCATCAGATGATGACCTGAGTCTGAGGTCATTCATTCCCCTTATGCCAACAATGCTGTGCTGGACTACATCTGAAGGTTTACATAAAGCCAATTAAAAAAAAAAGGGTTTGCACTCTGATACACCAAAGTTTTATCTTTTTTTCAACTTTGTTGCCCTGAAGTTCTATTTTTATACCTTGATACCCCAATGTGGAAAAAAAATTGACACTAATTTTCTTACTAAAATATCAGTAGTGTCAGTTTGAAAACATTGAGGTATCAAATTCTCAAATTATAACTTTTGGGTATCAAAGTTAAAAAATAAGTGAAGCTATGGGGATATAAAGTGCAAATAACCCGAAAATTTTGACCTAGCTGTTATCAGTGCGCAGACTGTCAATGAAGTTGCATCCTTTGGTGAAGTCATTCATAGAGATAAAGGAGAGAAAATCTCTGAAACTACTGTCTTTGTATCCTTTTGGGTGTTGTTCATCCACAAGCTGACTGGCAGGGATAACCATATCATCGATCGAAAGCCCATGGATGCTGGCGATTGACATTCTCTTCTTACAATTGAGAATAACTCGGTGAACAACACTCTTATATTGTCCATTGCTCAAAACTTCAAGATAATCACCAATGTGCACATGCAATGCCTCTGATTCTGCTGGCACTGCTTTCCAAGTGTTGGTATTTTTATCGACAATCTCAAGACCATCACAACTCTGGAGAAGAATAGTGATGTAACCATAGTCAGAATGAGCGGCTAACCCTAGCATCAAGTCTTTTAATTGAGAACTCTTCTCGTAGTTGTTAACTGTCATTACTTGCATCCCCTCCTCGAGTTTTTCTCTTGTGTATGCCTTCCCGAGACCTAAGCTCTCAAAGATGGCATCCATAAGTTGCAGGGCTACTCTTTTCACTTCTGTTGCGAACTTGCCCATCTTTTCCCTGTTTCAAGAAGATATTAGTTGGAGCTGGCTGTTAATTTGTTTCGTTGCAAATGGATGTACAAATGAAATATTTTCTTACCTGTAGTCGGGTGGAGAATGTGGCCAGAATTTGATCCACTCGTCGAGGGGGTTAGCGTATTGTTTTAAGAAATCTCTCGGCTTGATAATTCTGTCGTCTTTGGTGCAGACTCCGTATCTTACAGGCTGGTGAACATCTTCCGATGCATATTCTTTCTTCTCTTCTTCGGAGAGTGCGAAGAAACCTGCGGCAGCTTCTAGCGCTCCGTTTATAACGGACTTGCTAATCCCATGGTTTATAACCTCCAGGTATGAAAATTTGTTAGTTCTGCATGAGACGTGTTAATTGCATTACAAGTTCAAGAATTTTAGGTGATAGTGTGGTTCTCTTCTATGCAATCTATCAGCCATAATTACTTGCAACTTAAGAGCTCATAGGCATCAAGTAAGGAATTCATATAAAACTTTTTGACTGTATTGTCATAAATTAGTAGAGAAAAGGCGTGTGCCTTAGCTTATTGATAATAAATAAAAGCAAATATTTACGAAGTACTGCATGGGTAGCTCTACTATGGGTTTGTTTTTTCTGTGGATGACGTCAACGCGGTAAAATTGTCATTATTTTAGGTTTGGCCTCTGTTTTTTTTCCCGGGATACAAGGTTCTAGTAATATACGCAAATATATAAGGAAATGAATGCGTGGACCATACTAACCTTTTTAATCTTTGGAAAATACTTCCAAGTTGTTTGTAGTCAGTATGGCTCGACACCAACATGAAAGTCAAGATCTAAGATGTTCAAGAAATAAATGGAAACCGACCTTAAAGCAACCGAGACGTGAACAAGCATTCCCAATATCTTCAACCACGAGGGACCGGGTACTCATCTTTTGGTTCAACCCACCAAGGTCTATCATCGGAAGGCTTATTCTCTCATGCTTCTCAACCCGTGCATCTGATTTTGGGATACACGTAAGCCCGATTGTCCTCCCTTTTACACTCATTTTCCCACTTATTAGAAACAACAAATTAATATCTCACAAGTGAATGGAACTACTACGTCGAACTTCTTCATCTATTTATATATAGGCCCAAGTCCCAAATGCATGCACTTCACCTCAATTTGACGCGAAGAAACCAGATTAAGGTTCATGTACTATAGGATGGCTTTAATGTTGTAGGGCCAATTTGATTCTACATATTTTACTATCACGGGTAGCAAAATTGTTGAGGATGCATACCATTTTTTGGTAGCAAAACCGCTGCTGCTTTTGAGCAGCAGTATTGAATTCTTGTTTATGCTTACGTGCTAGGTGTCTAATTGGGTCAAGCCTAGTAATAATAGAAGTGGAGAGAATGCAGGAGAGGATAAAGGGGAGAGATATTTGACTCCTTGTTATTGATGGTATTGTTTATCCAAAAACAATACCGCCCTTCCTCAATACAACTGCAGAACATAGGAATGCCTACACTTTCCCCACTTGCTCCCTTTTGTCTGCTTATTAATGCTGCCCCCAGGGCCGGTTCTGAGATTTTAGGGGCCCTGTGCGAAAAGTAAACACATGGCCATTCTCTATATACAAAATATCAATAAATTCAAATTTGAATCCCTAAAATGCTAGGGAACAAAATGTTACTGATTAGACATTAAAATGTTACCTGATTTTTTTGCATCTGGATAGTCTTTAACATACTTCTCAAGTGATATTGCTCATTCTTCATCTCTTCGGTCACCTGAATAAAATGTTACTGATCAGAGTAGAATATATCCAACAAAGAGTACAATATCATTTGGGTTTTTGAGGATAAAGAGTTTTATAGAGAGAGGATACTCACGTTCAAAGTAAGGAGTAATACATGCTTTCATTGGAACACCCCAAACTGCATCTAGATCATCACGAGAGCTGCACATTGGAGGTTGGGTTCTAGGTTCCCTATTATAGTAACAATCATTAGTCAAAGGTTTTACCCAAATAACAGTTTGGTTCCTTTTTGCTGCAATTTTCTAGCACATTCTCTCAACAAGACCACTCATCTCTTTCCAAATGCTTAGATCTTCTTCATCTTGTGCATATGCTTCGGGAGACGAACAAGAGCACTCAAAGCTCTACTAGCATGCTGTCCTCGAGGGTTGAAGAAAGATCCATAATAAACGAATAAAAAGACTATAAAGAGCACAGCAGCACAAATCCATCTGCTCTCCCCGTCATATTTGTGGAAACTAACCAAATCCTAAGATATTTTCATCTACAACCACATCCAATACTTCACGCTATTGGAGATTATATCAGTGTAATTAAAACTCTATTGCCTCTCATAGACCCCAAGATCTGATAAAATTAAACAGAAACTACTCAATATGAAGTAAATTCCTGCAAATAAACAAAACCCATAAAACATCAGTTATCAACTGTAACAATCATACGAATACTGCACAACATGATTTCCCCCCCTTTTTAGTTATAGGAATTTTTTATAAAGCATTTTTATCAAGCCACACATCTCCATATTAAAAACATTAAACACCAAAGAGGCCTAAGCATCAACCTCTGAATAATACCAATAAAAGTGCAAATATGGATTGAACCCAGATAGATACATTGATTCCAGACAATCTAAATTGAAATACCCATCAATCAAATACACTCCAAAAATTGTAGAATTTGTAGAAAATGCATGGGACAACATTTAATTCATTACCCATTACACACTTGCAGCTGAACTACATATTTTCCAGTAAATTTTACTACTAGCCACTGACAAACAACAATGCAATAAATCCACCAAAAGAATCAAACAATCAGGAACCCAGAAAGAATTGGGAGAAATTAAATGAAGAAAATCTATGAAATAAGCGTCAAAATGAGATTTTGACTAGATTGAATGAGAGGAAACTCACTGTTGAGAAATGGGTCGGATCTGAAGATCAAATTGTTAATGTCATAAAAAAGACAAAGATTCAATTTTTGACAACAAAAACATAATATCTCACCGATTCCTCGACCTCAGAGGCACCAACTCGCCCAATGCGACGGCCTCTGCTAGCGTGAACCTCCAAAGCCCTAATTTTTGGAGAGATCAAGATGGAGATCGGAGCTTGAGGAGAGGAGTTGAAGGTAGGGAGGTCGAAAGTTGGGAGAAGGCTAGGGGCCTAGGGTAAAGTTCGGAGCTTGGAGAGGAGAACTTAAAAGTCCGTATATGTCATAAGGTTAAAGTTTCGCAAACACCACCTCCCCTGAGAGGGTTGTGCTGACCGAAAAAACTCTCACTATGTTGAAAATCTTATAATCATCAAGAACCCAAATGCCAAAGAAATGAGAACAAATTGTGCGGTAACAACGTTACTGACGAAATTGATGAGACCACCGTTGATGTTAGCAGTTCTTGATTCTGATACCGAGCCTGAGAGTTGTAATACCGTTGACACTGGCGTTGATTATACCACGCGAGCGCGCGATGCTTGGATTTTCAAACACAACATATCATAAACAAACCTTACCTGACAAGTTAAACATCCTTAATAGTTAAAAAAGGACAGAGGGTGAGAGGAGCAACTTCACGAATTACCACAATCTCTGAAGACCTTGCACAAAAATGTCAATGGCTACTTTGTTTTAGAAAGTATCTTGAAAAGTTTCCATTAAACCGTTATAACTGACATGTTAGCGTAAATTGGCACCTGATATGAATGTGAGTAGTTTGATTTTGTCCTTTTCATTTTATACAAATTATTTTTGTTAGATAAATCATCGAAAACTTTTCAATCTATAAAAAAAAGGAAGGGAAAAAGAAAAAAAAAATCACTATTAAAAGTTTATCCTTAATGTATCGCTAATCGCTAAAGTTTAAAACATCCATAATAGTTAAAAAAAAGGGAGAGGGTGAGAGGATAAACTTCACGAGTTACCATAAATTTTGAAGTTCTTGCACAAAAACCTCAATGATTACTTTTTAGAGAAAAGTATCTTAAAGAGTTTCCATTAAACTTTTATAACTAAGATATGTTAGCGTAAATTGGCACATGATATGAATGTTAACCTATATCGGCACATGATATAATGCGAGTAGTTTGACTTTTGTCCTTAATGACCGCTTTTCAAAGAAAAGTATTCTGAAATGTTTCCATTAAACTGTTATAACTAACATATGTTAGCGTAAATTGGCTCATGATATGAATGCGAGTAGTTTGACTTTTGTGTTTTTCATTTTATATCAATTAGTTTTGTTAGATAGATCATCGATAACTTTTTGATTTGCAGAAAAAAAAAGGAAAAATGGTTTACTATCAAAAGTTTATCCGTAAGTGTATCACTAAAGTTTAAAACTGTTGAAGTTAATCCTAATTCTAAAAGGATTTGAGTTTATTATCTATAGAAATTCACCTCTTTTATAAGAGTTTGTTTTATTAGGAATTAGTTCATATTATTTATCTATAGGCTTTGAGTAGTTTGGTTTTAGAGTTCTTATTATATTAGAACTTTTGATGGATGGATTTTGTAAGCCTTTAAATAGGCATTCATGCATCCTTATAAAAAAAAGAAAAAAAAATGTACTATAGCAGCAACCAAAACAAAACAGAGAGCATAAATTTAGTTGTTTATCCCTTCCTCTCTCTTCATATATATTGATTATTTAATTGCCTCTTTGTTAGTAGTTGATCCAACAGTGGTATCAGAGTCATGAAAAATCTAAACGGGACAACGTCAACTTCTATACCTATATTGGATGAGAAGAATTATCACTGGTGGAGAGTGCATATGAATGTGTTGTTTGAATATCAAGATATATTGGGTGTCGTAGAGAACAAAGTTGCCGATCTCGCTGATAGCGCAAGTGAAGTCGAGAAGAAAGCCCACAGTGAGATCAAGAGGAAGGATCGAAATGCGTTATTCTATATCCATCAAGGAGTGAATGATTTAGTTTTTGAGAAGATCGACGGAGCAACTACAACAAAGCAAGCGTGGGTTTATTTGGAGACATCGTACCATGGAGTTGAAAAGGTAAAAAAGTTAGGCTTCAAACATTGAGACTTCAATTTGAAATTTTATAGATAGAATCCTCTGAAAGTGTTGCAGATTATGTGACTCAAGTATTTTCTTTGACAAATTAAATAAAAATAAATGGGGAGAAGGTTGCAAATTTAGCAATTATGGAGAAGATATTGCGAACTCTTGCAACTAAATTTGACCATATCATGATGGCAATCGAAGAATCGAATGATTTGTCCAAAATGACAGTTGATTAGTTGATGGGTACCTTACAAGTTCACGAGCAACGCATGAACGAGAGGTCAATCGAGAAGCCCATTGAGAAAGCTTTTCAAAGTTAAGCTTTTATAAAAAATAACAAAGGAGCGTAGTACAACAGTCACCAGGGGGGAGGAAATTCCCGTGGAAGAGGACAAGGATACGGGAACTACAACAACCGAGGACGTGGATATCATAATAGTCAAGGAGGTGACAATTATAACAACAATCAAAGAGATGACTGCAATCAGAGAAACAATTATCAATCAAATTCAATTTATCGAGGTCGAGGTCAAGGTCGAGGCTTTGGACGTGGTAGAGGAAATTTTAATAAATCAAACAGTGAATGTCATATATGTCACAAATATGGCCACTATGCAAAGGAGTGCAAGTACTAGAATAATTCCCATTTTGGAGAAGAAGTTCTATTTGCACAAGAAAGAGATGATGAAGACAACCACACTTTATTGATGGCCACTGCAGCCGGTGAAGAATCAAACTACAACACATGGTTTCTTATGACACCGGGTGTCCTAATCACGTGTGGAAAGAAGGAGTTGTTTGTGGACCTGGATGAGTCGATGCGGACCAAAGGCAAGTTTGCCGATGACAATACTATACCAGCGATGGGAAAAGGGCGAGTTCTCATCGAGCTGAAGAACGGAGACTAAAAGTTTATTTCCGATATATTCTATGTGCCGAATATGAAGAACAATTTACTCAGTATGGACCAACTTCTTGAAAAGGGGTATGATCTG